TTTTAGTTTTATGTATTATTTTAGACTAAGATACTCCCCCAGGTCTATTCTTAGTGATAACATCAAATGATATTTATACCACCGTCTAATAATTGCATTAGCTGGGGTCGTGCAGCTTCTTACCCTATAAATCCAACTCTTGATGATGATTTCTCTAAAACATGTAACTAGAAATGACTAATTAAGGCTAGAATAATAAAGCAAGAGATCTAATCACAATTATTCAATTTTCAACCAAAGAGGGAGTCTCGAGAGTTGGTAATGGGCTAGACATTGAAGTTTAGACAGTGACACGCGAGCGGAGTTCATAGATATTTTAACAAAGCAATAATTGGAATTTTTTTTAAATTTTTTTTCCCAATCTTTTTGACGCCATTATTGCTCTAATTTGATGCCAACCAAAGCCTGTGTAAGCTCATCACAGCTCCCCAATATTCTTTTTGTTCTAATTTCTTCTCTAGTTCACACAGCCCCCTCCCCCAATAATTAAAGAAATGTTAGAGGCACACCATGAGGCACACCTCCGATCACACTCCCCCACCTGTTACAGTGCAGGGGCCTCACAGGAGATTTTTTTAAAAATCTCCTGTGGGACCCCCTGCACTGTAGCAGGTGGGGGGGAGTGTGACCGGAGGTGTGCCTCATGGTGTGCCTCTAACACCGCTCCAATAATTAAGCCAGTTCATCTGAAATTGTCTTCATGCTCCCGCCCTCTGGCCCACATCCCCCACATTTCCAAATAGACCCACACCAAATGTCTGCCACCCTTGCTCCTCAAACACCATGATTCAAACAGCTAACATTAAATCATCCATCCATTCTTGAAGTGACCCATCCCTTGACAACTAAACAAACAAGAGGCCAAACCAAACCCACACAAAACATGCACACGAATATACTTCTTCAACACCCAACCACACCTTTTTGTTCCCATCACATGGTGCCTCCCTTGTATATCTAATAAAAAAAATGCGCAGAAATATAGAGGGGCAGACTTGTCCATCAGTCTATCTTTTTAGTTTTATGTATTATTTTAGACTAAGATACTCCCCCAGGTCTATTCTTAGTGATAACATCAAATGATATTTATACCACCGTCTAATAATTGCATTAGCTGGGGTCGTGCAGCTTCTTACCCTATAAATCCAACTCTTGATGATGATTTCTCTAAAACATGTAACTAGAAATGACTAATTAAGGCTAGAATAATAAAGCAAGAGATCTAATCACAATTATTCAATTTTCAACCAAAGAGGGAGTCTCGAGAGTTGGTAATGGGCTAGACATTGAAGTTTAGACAGTGACACGCGAGCGGAGTTCATAGATATTTTAACAAAGCAATAATTGGAATTTTTTTTAAATTTTTTTTCCCAATCTTTTTGACGCCATTATTGCTCTAATTTGATGCCAACCAAAGCCTGTGTAAGCTCATCACAGCTCCCCAATATTCTTTTTGTTCTAATTTCTTCTCTAGTTCACACAGCCCCCTCCCCCAATAATTAAAGAAATGTTAGAGGCACACCATGAGGCACACCTCCGATCACACTCCCCCACCTGTTACAGTGCAGGGGCCTCACAGGAGATTTTTTTAAAAATCTCCTGTGGGACCCCCTGCACTGTAGCAGGTGGGGGGGAGTGTGACCGGAGGTGTGCCTCATGGTGTGCCTCTAACACCGCTCCAATAATTAAGCCAGTTCATCTGAAATTGTCTTCATGCTCCCGCCCTCTGGCCCACATCCCCCACATTTCCAAATAGACCCACACCAAATGTCTGCCACCCTTGCTCCTCAAACACCATGATTCAAACAGCTAACATTAAATCATCCATCCATTCTTGAAGTGACCCATCCCTTGACAACTAAACAAACAAGAGGCCAAACCAAACCCACACAAAACATGCACACGAATATACTTCTTCAACACCCAACCACACCTTTTTGTTCCCATCACATGGTGCCTCCCTTGTATATCTAATAAAAAAAATGCGCAGAAATATAGAGGGGCAGACTTGTCCATCAGTCTATCTCTTGGTAACTTACTTGGCAGATGGGCGCCGTAAGCGGACAATTTTTCAAAACAATCCCTTTCGCTATTTTATTCCCAAAAAATGACCCTATTAATTTTTATTTGTAAAAACCAACCTGGTTTCAGCGCTGAGGTTGAAACCAGGTTGGTTTTTACAAATAAGAGAGAAATGAGTCGTTTTTTGGGAATAAATTTACAAAAGAGTTTGTTTTGAAAATTTGTCCCACCGCAAGCTCGTTCTTTGTACATAGGTATATCTGTGCTAATAAAATGGGGCCGGGACACGTGCCCCGTCGCACAATTACTTTAGATCGTGATATATGCCCCCCATTTTGTCAAAAGTTGCGAGCCTCAGCAGGTCCATCTCTTGGTAGCTCATTTTAGGTATTCCTTATACATAAGTACGTATGCGTCTAAAACACTAACCACGCCCCCATTTTATTCCCTTCACCTGATGACCCTCGTACTATAATCCGACATGACTGAGAGACTGTACATAATCTAATGAGGTTAACGCAGCAGTAGTATATAATCAACAATTTAATGAGGTTTGAACCAAATGCAGCAATAGTATATATCAACCACCAACTACCAAAACTTTTTTGTTTTTTTCTTACAAGATTGAATGAAGAAATTGAGCTGTACACTGGCATTCTTTGCACAATTGGGATTGAATGGATGACAGATGAGAAACTGGCTTATTGGGAAAAAGAATATGGAGAAAAGCTCAACAGAATCTAGGCTGAAGCCAAGAGATTGTAAGTGATGAGAGAGTAACAGTTTACCGAAGAATCTGATTGAAGTTCAGCACAAGGATGAGGAGAAACCAAATCGGAGAACCCTGAGACATCTGAACACATCCATGAAGGGTCAGAGTGCACCGATAATGTGATGTTCGATAAGCATATCGCAGAGAATTTATCGGTTTTTATGCCCGAAAAGACTCCGGCAGTGGAAACGTTTGACCCAATGATGTTCTTAAAAGTTATTCCACTGATAACTGGGAGAGCAGTTGGATCATACTTTTCGTCAGGGTGGCTACTGTAGTTGCCCATTAACTTGAAAGCAAGCTCGATGTTCTCCATTTGAACGTCAGATATGAGAATGTTCTTTATATAACCGCCTCTTCCCTGCGTCGTTTTGAATATTATGCCGGTTTTGGAATCTTGTATGTGGAGGTGTTCGACTTGGATGTCGGAGATCCCACCAGACATCTCGCTGCCAAAGGCTAGAGCTGAACCGAGAGGGCTTTGAAGAGAGATCTTGGTTATGTGAATGTCGGATGAGGGTTGCCCGAAAGAGATCCCATATTCGTCCCATCCGCTCTTGAGAGAAATTGCGTCGTGCCCAGCGCTGATGGTGCAGTCCTCGATGCATAGTTGAGAGCATGAATCTAAAAACATATTATTGTCAGCATTTAGCACAATTAAATCAAGGCTCATAAGATAGAAGAAACAAACAACTTTGTCTCATGTATGGTCTTTTCACTACCAAAAGCGGTTCGGATAGTATTATAGACGACCTGTAGTCTGTAATTGCATAAAGTTCACATGGATATGAAAGATATATTATTTTTTAGTTAAAATGTGTAATTGTTTTTTCTTTTGTTAATCTAGGGTAAACATTTGAAGCCTGTCAAATGGGTGCCTTGAATACATTCATTTTGGAAAAATATAGCGTGAGCAGCCAATCAACTGATTGATTCACCATACTTTTTGTGAGATTGAATATTAAGGATCCATCATTTCCTGATCTTGGTAACTATCTCTGTGTATCCACAAAATGCATGTTGCCACACAGTTATTTCTTAATTTTGGTCTAAGGCCATCTACTCTAAATTTTTCAGGTGGCGTCTTTTGGTCATTAGACTCACATTTTATCAAAGCTTTATGTTCTGTATGGTTTGTATTTGCACAAGACTATAAAATTCATAGAATTCTGAAAATAACTTCTCATGAGTACATAAAATGGTTTGATTTCAACATATTTTATAGTCTACAAGAATACATGGTTCAAAGAGTTACCATGTTGAGTTTAAAGTCATTCTTGTTCGCTCTTCGTAGGGTTAAAAGCTCTTATTGTCTGGTTTAAGTTTCACGCTACAGTGTTGATATTTTAGACGATTCTTTTTTTTTTCTCAAGAGAACATTAGTCCTATTTTTTGTTATCCAGCATCCACGCAATCTTTTTCTCTTATATAGATAAAGTCTTCACTACAATTTTCTCTTTTAACCATCTCGAGAGTGATTGTTTTCAGCATAACCTTCGCACTTGTTAGCCACTGAAGAGATATTCACAATTATGTTTTAAATATAATATAACATTATTTATAGAATAAATAAAATGGAAGTAAGTACTGACCTGGGACTATCCCATCTGTGAATGGAGAATCAGATGGAGCATGAATTGTTATGTTTAGAACTTCTACGTTGCTGCATCAGTACATAGAAACATATGATCAAAAATGAAGTTAACATAATTATGTACAAATTTTCCGCATCTAATAAAAAGACTACGATATTAGATACTAGCATCTGAAACTCACTTGCAGTACACTGGATGAATGCTCCAAGCAGGTGAATTCAACAAAGTCAGATTTGAAATCACAACATTATTCGAGCTCACGAGTTCCACAAGATGAGGCCGAGAATAGTTCAAGCTATGTGAATTGAACCACTGCCACCAAATAGAACCTTGCCCATCGATGGTCCCATTATCTCCTGTAGCAAAATGGGATGAGAAAACTCAATATAGGGGTTTGAATTTACATTATGGAAAAAATTTAAACGCAAGGAAATAAAAGAGATTTGTGTCTGTGCCTGTAATCACTACATCAGTCAAGTTGTATCCATTTATCAAGCTCCTGTGCCTTCCACCAGGAAGTTCTATTCCACGACCGTATGAGGGTAAGGGATCGATGATAGGCCACTGAGAAGAGTCCTGAAAGTAAGAACGGAACGGATATCATAAAAAATCTATACTTCATTTCATCTAATACTAACAAAGTACGAAAATGTAAGTTTCCTTGTATTCTAAAGTGTGTAAACCTCCCTAATGCATTTTTTGAATGGGTAGTGTAGTAAGTCCATGAGAATTGACTTTCATTTATATAAAACTAAGCCAATTTTGAGGTATTTGAGCAATCTAAATTCAGAAAAGGTCACTAATTTCTAGTACTGCTTGTAACTGCATAAATATCCGATGTAGGAGTATCTATTCATGCACAACTGATTTCCTTTTATATAAGTATCTATCTATCCACACTATTTTCAGCCTATTATGCACAAAAGAAGGATAATAAGCTTAAATCCTAGACTAACCAACTAAGACAAAAAATGTGATAGAAATGGACGATCATCATAATGATAGATAACATAACACGATAACACCCAAATAGACTTCGCCACACTCTAAAACGAGCACGATGAATTGTTCCGTGTCGGTTTGCAATGACCCAAACTAACTCAAAAGGATCAACCATATTTTGAGCCGCAATTCGAGCATATCTAACACACCTATCAATCTAGCTGTGCTTTTCCAATAGGGAATCACCTGACTTCCGAGGATAACGGCGTCCTTCTCAAGAAAGAGAGTGAGATGGCTTGTGAGGTTGAAACTCCCAGTGAGCCACCTCCCCTTTGGTACAAAGAGCTGAGCCCCGCCCTTGTCAGCGAACGACCTAAGATAAAAGATGGCATTCTGAAATGCAAGAGTGTTTAGGGTCACGCCGTCCCCAGCCGCCCCAAACTCCAATATCGAAACACTGTGTGGCCTTGGAGCCAAGCCCCTCTTGTGCTTGCATTGCCCATCCCCTCTAACCTCACTAGCTACTGCTAAAACCAACAGCAACAGTACCTGAAAATGGTGGGAATTCAGCATAAACATGTAACCATTAGCTAGCATGCTCTTTTATGATCGTCGAATGCGCATATTATCATCACTGAAACCATTTTAGAGAACACATTCAAGGGGAAATGATGAGGGAGCTAATGTGGGAATTGGGTGATGGGGAAAATTTAAAATTAAATAAAAAAAACCCCATTCTACATGCCCCAATGTGCCATCAAACAAAACCCAATTTCCGTGATCCCTGACAATAAAAAACAAAACTGGTTGGGAGTATTGTTTGAGCTCAATAAAACACCGACAAAGTTGCGAGCTTTCAAGTACAAGGGAACCAAAGATTAAATCTTGGCATTGCTGATCAAAATCGGAGCTTCAGAAACTAAACACGGCAGGTGCCCACGTGAGAAAATGGCTACAAGACTAGCTAATTTGAGCAAGATCCACAATACCCACATCGCAAAAACATTGAAACTCCGTTGAAACGTATATAATTGAGCAAAACTAAGTTCCTATACATCACTAAATTATATTTTTTAAAAAAAAAACTTAAAGAAAAAACGTACTTACTAGCCTCTTCATGAGCTCTCAACAGGAGAGAGAAACGAAGCTCCTCCCAAAGCTCGGAGAGAGGATGGAGAAGTACAGAGAGAGAGAGAGAGAGAGAGAGAGGAGTAAAAGCTAACAAAGCTTAAGGAGCTGTCCTGTGCTTCTTAATACTTGAAGAACAAAAAAATATATATAGCAAGTAAAATAAAAAAAAGGGAAAACAAACAATTATGTACTAATAGAGAATATACACACTCACAAGTGAGACCAAAATGAGAACCCATCTCTAATTTTGTTTTTTTTTAATTCATCTAGGGGCCCCACTAACTCTTTTTTTTTTAAATATTTAAAACAAAAAAGAATGAGGGGGTGAATGAACTTGTGAGCTCCAACCAATTCAAAGGGAAGAATAAAAAACAAATATACACTTTTGTCACAAATATGGCAAAATAATAATAATAATAATAGTAATAATAATAACAACAACAGTAAAGTTTAGAATCTAATATTTAAGCTTTTTCCAAGGCTTGAAAGCCTCAACAAATCCAGCTAACACCAGCCAAGATACACCCATATATTTCATTGCAAACTTTACTTATAAGACTTTTATATGTTTATTAGTACATGAGTAGGAGTATGTTTGTAAATAAAGTATGAGTGAAATTCAAGACTTCAATGCTCTGGAACTAACATTTTCATATGATAATGGTACTGTATTTGCTGCATAGTTTATTGGATAGGTGAATCTAAATTTGGTAGTGAATAAATATTTACATGTGAATATGGTAGCATATAATATGTTTTTTTGTTAAGGGAAGGAAATAATGTGAAATAATGTAATTTCCATCTATTTTTTTCCTTTAGAGAGAGAGAGAGAGAGGGAGAGGGAGCATGGGGCTGCGTGTCCCATGTGGTTTGCCAGGGAGGAGGTGGTCCCCACTTCAATCATGCCCGCCGATGCTAGCCTGGCTCTCTCTCTCTCTCTAAAAAAAATTGACAGAACATTGTATTGAATTTGTGCCACTCTCTCTCTCTCTCTCTCTCTCTAGGATCTGTTACATGTTACAAAACACAGAACAGAATGGTAAGTTTGCGGTTGCAATCTAGTTGCGAAAATTTCTCCCGTAGTTATGGATGACTTTATGTAAATTTGGATGTAAATTAACCCTTGTTTTTTGACAAGGGAAACATGGTCAGCCACTCAGCACCGGTCTGGCGGAGACCACGGTTCGAATCTTCTCGATCCCCCCACAGCTGAGGGAGCCATCTCCTTGCTACCAGGGAGCCCAGTTCCACGTAGGTGGTCACTCAGCGTGTGGATCAGAACAGACTCAAACGGGTTCCTAATCTACCAGGCTGATTAGCTGAATAGTAAAACCCCGAGTCTCCGTCCCCACCCTAAAACCAACCGAGACCAGTTGAATGCGGCAGCGGAGATTCGAACTCCTGACCAACAGGGCGTGTGCTTAGAGAGTGAGTCCTCCCCCATGGAGCTGCTGAGTAAGAATCCCACCCGCGGGTGGTTGTAAATAACACTTTTAATCCTGTGAAACATCAAATTTTGGTTTAAATTGCAAATTTAGGGTCAATTTAACAACCCTTTATTAAATTTATTTTAGTCTAAACTAGTTTAGTTCTGTATTACCTTGTCTAGACCAGAACTGCATTAGTTTAATGCTATAAATTGATATAAAAATTAGTTTTAATACGCGAGCCAAAATTTTGTCAAACTAGGATCATGGCCTAAAACTGTTTTCACTGCAATTTTAAGTTGCCAAATGAACCATTCATTTATAAGAAAAGAAAAAAGAAAAAAAAAAGTCTTAAGTAGAACTCCAAAAATCTAGATACTCCAAAATAATTAGATAACTTCAGTTGTAACTTGTGGAATTCTAAAATTAAATTGAATGATTGGAATTACTACTATATCCCACAACAATTGCAACAACTATGGTTTGGATATTACATATCTTCTTAAAACTTCCAAAATGTAGGCAGAAATTTCCATCTAGCGATATATTAAGGGACGGTTGTTATTCAAGCCACCGAATAGTGACGATCAAATACATGTAAATAGAAATATCCATCATTTGCATTGCAAATACGGTTGAGGTAAATAAAACGCAAAAAAAAAAAAGTGGGTGAGGTGGGCTTAGAGCATGTTTCGGCAAAGAGCATGTTTGACAATTTATTTATTTTCTCCTTATAAGTAACTTTTTATTATAAGGTGCCAATGTAGTGTTTGTTGAGGATTCTTATTTTACTTATTTGTTAATTATAAGTAAGGAAAAAAATATGTTGAGATTTTCCAACTTATTTTTTCTCGAGTTATAAGGAACTTTCCTTATTTTGGCAAAAAGATAAAAATATCCTCCTATTCCCTTTACTTACTTAAAATTACTCATTATAAAACAACTAATATTAATAACTAACTAGTTAATTATTTTTAATAATTATTTACTAAATTAATTTATTAATTTATTAACTTTTTATTCATTTTTTATAATTTATCAATATTTAGTTATTAATTTTAATTTATTCGTTAATACTTGTTATTTTATTAATATGAAAATAATTAATCTGAATATTACTAATTTATAATCATAAAATAATATAATGTATAAAAATACTTTAGTAAAGTGTATTTTTTATTATGAGATAACTGATTTTTATATATGTTATTAATGATAATATTTTATTAATGATAATATTTTAGTAATAGATAAAAACAATTAACTAATAAAAATATTAGTAATTGATAATCACAAATAATATAAAAAATTTAATCAAATATATTCATTATTATAATTAATTAATAATAACATTTCACTACTTTGAATTTAAGTAATAAACCTCAATATTAGTAATTATTAATCACAAATAGTGTAATATATAAAAATATTTCAATCAAATATCTATATCATGAGATAAATAATTTATTATTAATTATTTTATTTTATTTTACTTATTTTATTTCTTTTTTAATTAATAACTAATTATATTATTAATAATTATTTACTAATATTAATTAATTTAGTAATATTTATTTATTTATAACTACTTAGTTAATTAATTTATTAAACTTAGTTAATTTATTTATTAACAACTAGTATTTCATTAGTATGAAATTCTCAATATTACTAGTTAATAATCATAAATGATGTAATATACAAAATATTTTAATAAAGTATATTTATTATTATGATATAACCAATTTTTATATATTAATAAACTATTTTAATATTTTATTAGTATTAAATAAATTAATCATAATATTTTTAATTATTATTCATGATTTATGTAATATATAAAAATATTTTAATAAATAATATTTTTATTTATTAACAACTAGTATTTCATTACTATAACTAATTACTTATTTTATTAATAATAATATTTTTCTAATATGAATATAATTAATAAATCTCAACATTAGTAACTATTACTCACAAATAATCTAATATATAAAAATATTTTAATTATTTTTCTCAAAAAAATATTTTAATTAAGTATATGTCTTATTATGATATATCTAATTTTTAATTAAAATTTTAATTTATTTTATAATAATAATATTTCATTATAAAGGAATTAATGAATTTTTCTCACTATTATTAATGAATAATCATAATTAATTAGAAATAATTAAATTAAGATCAATTACTTTTTATATATTTGATAAATTTAATATTATCATTTATTTACTTAATATAAATGAATTAGTTGTTCATAATGTAGAGTTACAACAATATGACCTTTTAAGTCATTTGATATCTGTTGTATCATAGAAGCCACTAAGGGGCTGTTTGGTACGCTGCAACTGGAGTGGTTGCAACTCCAGTTGCATGCAACTAGGTCCAATTTGACTAGTTGCGTGTGTTTGTTTTGCTGCAATTCACAATTGCAGCTGCAACCACAGTTGCAAAACAACCCTTAGTTGCAACATATGACTTACGTCAAAAATGGCCGCAAGTCATAGTTGTAACTTAGTTGCAACTGACCTAAATTTATTAAAATCAAAATCATTACTTAATATTTCAAAAATAAATTCATTTAAGGTTTAAAATAATCTTTTAAATAATTCTTATTATAATCATTTCTTCAAAAACGTTTTTTAAAAAAAACAACATCAATCTTTTAAAATAATTATTATTATAATAATTTCTTCAAAATAATATGTTAGTTTTAAAAGTAATATATTATCTTTAAAATAATATATTATTTTTTAAAATAATATTTTTTTTAAAATAATATATTTTTTAAAATAATATATTTTTTGAATAATATATTTTTTCTAAAATAATATATTTTCCTAAAATAATATATTTTTTGAAAAATAAAATTTTCCAGGAATACTATTATTTTTCTAAAATAATATATTTTTTGAATAATATTTTTTTAATAATATATATTTAAAATAATATAATTTTCTAAAATAATATATTTTCTAAAATAATATTTTTAAAATAATATATTTTTTAAAATAATATATTTTTAAAATAATATATATTTCTTAAATTAATATATAATTTCTAAAATAATATATTTTTTAAAATAATATAATTTTTCTAAAGTAATATGTTTTTTAAAATAATATATATTTTTAATAATATATATTAAAATAATATATTTTTTGAATAATATATGTTTTGAATAATATATAATATATATTTTTAATAATATATATTTAAAATAATATAATTTTATTGAATAATATATTTAAAATAATATAATTTTCTAAAAATAATATATATTTAAAATAATATATTTTTTGAACAATATATTTTTAAAGTAATATGTTTTTTGAATAATGTATTTTTAAAATAATATAATTTTCTAAAAATAATATATATTTTAAATGATATGTTATATTATTTTTAAAAATATTATATTAACTTTTAAAAATATATTATTTGTTAAAAATATATTATTTGTTAAAAATATATTATTTTTCTAAAATATATTATTTTTAAAAATATATTATTTTTTAAAAAATATATTATTTTTAAAAAAAGTATTTTTGAAAAATATTTTATGAGTTGCATATGTTAAGTTATAAGCATAATCAAACAACTGCAACTATAAGTTGCAAAATTTAAATTTTAAACCAAACAATTACAACTGTAGTTGCATGTAAGAAGAGTTGCAACGTCTCAGTTGCATGCAAAGTGA